TTATTGGCGAAGTGATTTGTCGATCAACGACATAGATACTCATAATAGAAACTGTATCTTTTTTTTCTTTTTTTCACTTAGGAATCGTTTCCAACGAAATTTAAACATAGTACATTGTAGATCTTTCTTTTTGATAGGGCGGACTTCCTCAGAAAATCCAATTTTGGTCAAATATACCGATTTTTGTGATTTATTGCTCATTAGATAGAGCAAAGCATATAGTTTCGAATGCACTATAGTCGTTTGGTTTCATATGAAGATTTAAGGATGTGACAGAGGTTTTTCGGAAACCACCTATAAAAAAAATGACTTTTACATATTCATGTACATTCATTTGATTTATTCTAATCAGGAAACTATGAAAAATTATTTGAAGATCCTTTTTATATCAGTTTATGAAGGAATAAGCCTTGAATTACAGTATTGAAACGGATTTTTCATTTTTCTCAAGTATACTATCTACACAAGTACACCTTTCTTATTAACAACTCAAGATAAAAATGATAAATTTGATTAATTACATGGCACGCAGTTAGCGCTAGGTCGCAATAGAGCCTGATTTTTGAATTTCTTTTTTACTGAAATAAAAAACCTAGATCTTTGTTTTTAATTCGCAATTTTTTTGACCACTAATTTAAAAATTTTTCGAAAAAGTCTTTTTCAAAAACAAATAAAGAGAAATTCAAAAAATCAGGCTCTGTTATGACGAAATTCTATGTCTACTCTACAATTTAATAACCATCCTGACATGTGTGCTCATATCCTCATTTGAAAAGTCTTGCTCCTGTAAAGAGTACTTTTGACCAATGAATCGACTATAACTCATGAGTAGCTTGGAGATTTGAGGTGATATTTTACGCAACGTTTAAACCAGCCAAGACTAACATTCTCTGAAATTTTGATTGAAATCAGATGAAAAATAAGAAAGTTTATTCCTGAGGAGGCCCTTGAGCATTAACCAATCGTTCTTTATCAATGATAGAAATGATTCTATTCTACCATTCAATTAAAATCTGTCTAATGGTAAATCTATTCGATAGTCTCAATCCGTGTGATTAGACGATAATATTTTATGGCGCTGCTCTAGAATGACGCAATATAAAGTCGTGAAACTTCCACTATAGATAGATCTTGAAGGCAGCAAAGCAAAATTTGTGCTAGATTCAATTTTGCATAATACTTTCTTGTATAAGATATCGGAGTTATCCGAGCTCAAACTCATCTCTATGATTGTCATCATTTCATCAGACACATGATGCGGAATTGATCGGAATTTTTTTTTCTTTTTATAACTACGAGATTGTGTTTGGGTAGTCCACTTTTCTGGTTTCTTTTTATCTTATTCTCTTCAAATAAAAATGTGAAAAAAATACCAAAGCTAACCTAAAAAATGCGAATCTTCTTTTCACTAATAAGGAAAGATTCATAAAAGTGAGTGTCAAATTTTAAATGAGAGAAATTAATAGTTCATTTGTATAAGACAGCATATGAAATATCGAAATTTCCAACATATAGTTCTCAGAGAATGTCAGGTATGGAAAACTAATTATGGCACTTTTGGCTACTTTTCTTGCACGGTGGATTGAAAAATATTTAGGGATACATTACTTTCCACGTTTTGATGTTACTTTTTACGCGACTAAAATATCTATATGATACAGTTTGAAGAATGCAAATTCTAAGCGAAAAATATTTGTACATTCGGAAGTTTAAGTTTCATGATTTTCATGTTTCGAGGTTGCAATAGACTATATATCTGTTACTTCATTCGCTTTATTCAAAAAATATTTCAAGCATTGAATCAGTGAACATAATACGTGGCTAAAACTGATTGGGAATCAATCCGTGAGTTCTTACAGAGAAATGAAAAAACAAGACTGAGCAGTTGACCCGCAGCACGAAGGATCAACATCACTGTGTAGGAATGTATTGTAGCACTCCCAGATTTCACTGATAGATGAGTCGTTTTTTTTCTACATAAGATAACGTGCAAATCAAAGCTATCCCACAATGAATCCTGGATTAATCTGCATTTAGCAACATTTCAAATTTATATGTTACTCGCAGTATATTCTCGAAATTGCTTGAGTTGCATAGGATGTGTAATCTGTAGGTAAGCATATTGCAAAGCTGTGAAAGAAGTCCTGCATCGCCAAAATCAACAGGCTTTTGTATACATTCCAAAGTGAACTGTCGATTTCCAATTACTTGTTGTTGTTCATTATATTCGCTTTCGATACTCTCATGCTTACAAAACTTGAGAGAACCTTTTGATTACTTGTTGGATAAACATTTGATCTGTCAAGTGCTTTTTCATGTATACATTTATAGTTGTTAACAACATTGGTAATAGAGAAGCAAGTGTTGAAATAGTCAAGCTTGAAAGAATATTAATCAAAATTGTTTCGGTTTTTTTCCAAATAATAGGTATACATAGACATGTTCGACAGAAAGAGAAAGAAATCACTCGAAAATATTAGAAAATGATAGAAATATGTTATGAAGCAAAAAGCACAATGTCATTTAGACCAGTGTATATAAAAATTCTCAGAACTTTGGTCTATATCTCTCCGAGATATGAAGCTTTCAAGCTATAGACTGTTTTCGTTCGATAGGATAAACAGCGTGAATTTTTTTGAAAACATAACATCTCGAAAATATGTAGCCCAAAAGTTCTGAAATTTTTTCTACATACTAGTCTCAATGATGTTTATATGTAGCCAAAGTTTCAGATCGAAGTTTGACAATATCACCTTACTATGAAGACCGGCTCCTATGTCAACAACTTATTAAAAACGTTCGATCTCTTCAGAAACAAGCTGTGGCCATGAACTCTCTTCATGGTAAATATAGTTCATTAAGATCTGTAAAACATACTAAATACAGAATGAAAAACACTCCGACATTTAGGAATGTTTCTTTGCAAGACAAAAGTTTATCACCGATTAAAACTACCGATAGCCAAAGCTAATAAAATTCATATAATTGTTGTCTTTGATTCATATACTCTGTTTGCTGACCGTGAGAAAAAAAATCAAATGATATCGCTTCCCATATGCAAGAATGAAAAAGCCAACAAATGAATAACTTCTATTCGACGTTGTTCTGTCGATGATGATGCCTTCTATGCACACGTCATAGATGATTTTTTATCGTCACTGTTAGAATCAAAAAAATCTTTTTTTTTTCTTTTTATTTGCTGTAACGCCGTCAGAGACATGCAAACTGGTAGTATTATTTTATGACAGAAAGAGAATGGTCTCATGTGTCTTTTGAAATTGATGGTAAAGAACAACGGTGTATGTAACGCATTCGGCATAGAAAAATGGTAAAATCTCGATATTTTTTTTTTGAAAAGATATAGCGTCGGATCTCTATAACTATTTGAAATATCAATTATCTTAGTTTGCTCTCTCGTGATTACAGATGAAATTGAAAGTGAAGATGTGGGTAATTTTGCAAACTCCCACTAATGTAAAAACCTAGAAGAACTTTTGATGGGAAAAAATACGATAATACATGACAAATTATGCATGTATAGCTTATTGACAATCACTATTAATTTGCGGTCATTCGGTATTTCCGATCGTGTGCTTAGACAATTACAATGGTGAGTAGAATAAAAAATCCATCATGATAACATTATGTATTTTTTTATTATTCCCGTTGCTAATCCTCACTCAGATCGAGTTGTTCAAAAACGCACCAATGTAGATATACTATTTGACAGAATGATGCAAAGGCATTAGCTTTGAGCCACATTATCCTACAAGATATGATCAGAACTGATATACTCTTGATTGAAAACTGGAACAGTCTGCGCCTTCCCTATGTTAACTTGCTGTTACCTTGAGAAGTCAATGTGACTGAATCGAGGAAACAGTGACCAACATTCAAGAAATAATAAATCTCTTTAACCATTTTCACGCCGTTTTTTGATAGTTTTATCTACAAAGACTGATAAGAGTATAAACCTGATATTGGTCATCTTCTTTGCCCAAAAAAAGTGTGATAACAAATCAAGTAAAAGAAAAAAAACAACATTCGTCCTTTATTTTTCTTTCATTTCAGTCTATAACCTAGCAGTATTTTGTTCGATTCAAATTATATTTCATCCAAAGATAACGAAAAAAACAAACAGAGATGAATTTGGAATCGTTGTGCAATGAATTATTACTCGATGTATACATGTTTCTATCCATAGTTCATCTCTTTCGAGCATTTTATGGTCTTAATGATCGTTTCAACAATCTTATCTACACTCATGTTCGAGTCTATGGTCATCTTGACTTTCGATCAGTATCGAAACGAGATTTTGACATAATGCATCAACAACATCTTCCATCTATCATCGATCGGATCATTTCACTTCGTCTTTCGAACGATGATGATACTCCACAACAAATGGAACTTTTTCTTTCACGTGGTTACAAGATTTGTCAATTTATTCAATTGCGATCACTTTCATTAATTCACTTGTATTCACCCGAAATACTGATACAGATGCTTAATGATCTTTGTTGTCTTCCTAATCTCACATATCTCAACATGGTCAAATGCTACTTAGGAGAAAGCCGAATAAGGTATAGGAAGATGATCGAAATTATTTGGAATCTACCGAAACTCACGCATTGTCATATAGGCAGCTTTTCTCACAAATGTGGACGATCATTTCCTCCAATAAAAACGATCTCATCATCTCTCGAATATCTCTTTATTGCAACGCACTATTTTCTTTTAAATGAATTGGATAACTTGTTTCAACATACCCCTCATCTTCGATATTTCCATACGGATTCGATTGACGATTCCTTCGATCAACTATTATCATCTTCTGTTCCATCGATGATCACATTAAAAATTAGTATATTAGGCTCACTTCCTGCATTGATGAATCTTTTACAAAATATGTCCAATCTTTTGCATTTAACAGTCGAGACATCACGCATAGATCTGAATGGGTATGAATGGGAACAGATCATAACTGATTATTTTCCTAACCTCAAAGTCTTTCAATGGAAAACGTGCATTGAACTTAACAACGATACGGACAAGGAACAGCAAGTCAATAAACGGATTGATTCATTTCGAAGTTCCTTCTGGATTGATAAACATCAATGGTTTGTCCGATGTCATTCGGGTTTCACATTTCAATCAAATGTTATTTGGATCTATACGTTGCCCTATGCTTTTCACGACTTCAGTACAACTGTCATCAATATCCAGTTCAGATCGACATGCCCTCAAGAACACGATTTTCATTCCTACGATCGTGTTAATAGATTTGTCTATGAATCTTCAATAATACGAGAATGTGCATCATTTCATGTAAAATTTCCTAATATTCATCATCTTTTGCTAGAACATGGTCCTGATTATCATTTTTGGTCTATGATTCCTACACTTGATCAGCTGGTCTCACTTGAAATCTTTCTATGTGATGATATTGACGATACTATTCAAGCTCAGCTTCACGATCTTCTTGATCTGGCACCTCGTCTCTATTCGTTGAAACTTCGTTCATGGCCGTATTTACCATTTTTTCTCACTGAAATCAAGTCTCACTCAATTCGTCGACTTGACTTTCAAGGATCTGATCGATCGTATCGGGAGATGTGGTTCAGTGATGATGAGTGTGATCGACTCTGTCGTTCAACACTAGGAGTACAATGTGAAGTATTATTTATTCGAGTTAAACATCGACAGAGTATTCTTGATCTTATCAATCGAATGAGTAATCTCCGAGCGTTGAATGTTCAGTGTCAAGATAATCGATTGGATGAATCTGATAGTCTATCATGGTCGAGAGACGATGAACTTGTCACATGGTTTGAACATCAGTTGCCACTAACATGGAAGATTGCAAAAGATCCACGCTGGCACCGCTGTATTCAAATGTGGGTTGGTTAACTAGAAAAAAATTATGTTTGTACTTGTCTTGTGTAAGAGAACGTAGTCAAAATATTGTCTTCATGTGCCAATTAGCAGTTTCGAGTATCAAATAGAAAGTTTACTTTCTCTTCTTGAAATCGAAATCGCCAGATCATTATCCCTATGCAAGAAAACCAATTAAGTAAAACATGTTCAGCCCTTATCATTTCATAGCGCCTCAATCTTCCATGACAGAACATTGATAGGTCACATCATCACTGTAATATATCTACTACTGTAGAAACAGGCATACCACTTGACATTATATTTTTGCCGCATGACATTCGAAGTTATTTTCCCTGTAATTATACTGTTATTAGTGTCTGATAAACTCATTTATTGATGAACCAAACACAATGAGCCTAAGTCAAGTATTTACTTTACCACTGTTCTCAGAGTAATCTAAAAGTATCTTTCGCATTGCATCAATGCATCGAGTGGGTAAATGGGTTGAATCTTGTTGCAATTCGATAATTCAATCTAAGAAGATTGATTCCACCAATATTAATGCCCAAATATACATATATCTTTCACTATTCATAGAGTAACTCGAAAAGTAGCGAGATCTCATAGGAATGAGTTTCAGCATCTAGCAATAATTGTCCACAATGCAATCAGTGAGATGCTTGAGCTTTCTCGGTCCCTTTATAAACTTTCAAAGGGCATTAATGTAACATAATCGTTCGAGTCTACATGGACTATCTTTAATATTTTGAATTCTCTGAAACATTCAAGACGTATTTTCGACAATCTCAATGGACGGCAGTCTTCCTGATCAATGATCTAAAGAAAATGTTCATTCATCCGAAGAGGACACGTTGACACAAAGAACAGAAGTGGTTTTAATGACGCGAAATTTTAAATTATGCAGCAGACATGTTAAATTTAGGAGCACAAGAAAATTTTTAATACCATTTTACTGCGTCATCTCGATAAATTATGTCTCCTTTTCTTGATTGAGTGGCGCGATTATTGCATTTCGTACTTCCAGCACTAACTCGTAAATTGTTTAATCAGCATTATTGTCGTCGCAATCGATGAAATATTCATTTGGAAAGTACACATGTGTATTTTCTAAGAGTTTTAGAGTATGTTACTAAAACTCCTCATGTGATCCAGCGTCATTCACTATAGTTTTATTCGTATCTTTCGCTACGACCAAATTAATGCACTCAGTTCATATTATAGATCTTCTCAACATTTTTCGATTTGAAGAAAAGTTTTCATCTCTTGAGTCAATTCAATATCCTGTGTTAAGAACATTCTCTCCACATCAAAGGCTGATAGTGACATATGCAGTTCTGTCTCATGGCAGAGAGGTGTCTTTTACTGACATGCAATCATTTTCATCGACAGGTGAGCTATTCATCGATGCTTTCTGAAAGTAAAGCTTATCATTTGTTCCATTTATTGACCAATTACGCTATCAGCTTAACTTATCTGGATGATTTGATGCTTACCATGATGACTTAAACGTCACATTGTCTTTTCGATCGTTCACACTATATTTCTTTCCTAATTGACTGTATTGTATCTGCTGCAAGATCTTCTCAAACTCGATGATAATAAATATATATTTTCCGGCATCCGACAAGAGACCAAAACCGAGCTGAGATCATCTTCATGAGAAGAGGCTGGTGTTGTCTTCCTTTTCACTAATTCTTGCATGAGCATTTGTCGTTGATCTTACTGAATATCGTTTCAAAAGCTGTATCATTGAACGCTGATGGTGAAATATCATTGATCTTTTCGATCAAAATGTGAAATTGTCAGTTTTAACCGGTGCCACTCATTGGTTTTTATTCTCTTGAATATATATCTCGCTCTCTATTGTTTTACTCCTTAGAAAAGTTATCTGTAGTAATCGGTCAGTCGACGTGCTACATTCGAAAAAATATTGCTTCAATGATGGGCCTGCAGGCGTTATTGCTTTGCACCGAAACTACTAAATCCATTTCAATCAACTTAAAATCAGCCTTACCTATTTTTTTTATTGATAATTTTGTATCTTTGTTAGATAATGTCCATTGTCGTAGTTTTGTTCGATTGTTTCAAAGTTTTATTTTTCACCATGAGTGCTACTGGAAACTATAGAATTAATCCTGTTGTATCTAGTATCTCTTTAAGCTATCTTTAAAGGTCTATTCAAATATGCTGTCCAGTATCTAAAATACTTGCCTTGACGTTAAATAACTTTGACATGAGGTGTAGACATAATTAAATGATTCAACAGAAAAAAAGTCTTAGTTACATTACTAGCATGCAAACTTCTCAAGTAAAAATAAGACATAGCGATGTAGTAAGATAATAATAGTAGAATACACAAAACAGTGAAACGTATAAAAATAGGATGCGCATCTCTTTGAATGAAGTTAGATGAGTCGAAAATGAGAAGAAAAGCATAAGTATATTGGGAAAATATAAATGGAAGAAACTAGAAGTAAAAGATGAATTTCGACAACTTTTTCAAACGTAATTTCTCTAATATTATACTCAAGATTGTGTGAGTTTAGGAGTACAATGAAAACCTATTTTTCGACGTTACAGAATACAAAAGTACACTGTCTATCTTTTAAGTAGTTTCACTCATGAATATTGCGTGTAGCTGTATCATCGATTTGATTTCAACTTCTTCTCTCATCTTTTACGCTGAATCAAGTGAAACCGAATACGTGACATAAACAATATCAATTATTGATCGCACAAGAAGACAATAAAAAGTGAAATAATTTGTAGTATTTTCATGTTCGGCATATTTGATGGTTTTATCATCACAAAAACATAACATTCCCACAATCTCAAATATGACGTAAAATATGTCGTTTGAAAACATCTACAAGATCCTTCTAATCAGAGATAGAAATTCTGTTGAATTCTAAATAAATCCATGCGATTTCGATTGAACACAGCAAATATTTTTAAAAAAGGAATTCAAGTCGATAAATACTGACTCGTAGGATATGCCTGCACACTGGCACTTATAGATTTATCAGCGACTAAATATAAAGTCGTTCATCGAACTAGGGTTAACATAATTGCATTCGACATCAAATAGCCTAACTTTTCGTGATGCAGATGTAGTGTTAGTTCAGACGTAGGTGGATGTGGCGGTGTGGAAGTAAGTATGAGTGTAGATGAGTATGCCTGAAGAGAAGAGTGCCATTCACATGCTATCATATTTATTAGATGAGTAATTATTGTATTGTGTATTAACACGTAATACAATTCATGTAAAGCCTGATGACCACTTACATATACTATCAAGTGATACTATTCATTATCGAGCTGTCGATTAAAATATATAAAAAATAATCGTTACTTGTGCAACACCTATTAGCTCAGTACAATCATTATCATCTATTCCTATTCGTATAAATAATGATATTCGAATGATAAAATAAAATTTTTCTGCCATAGTAATGAGTTATAGGTTTTATGTTACAATTAATGCATATTTGGGTGTAGGTGTGAATACATGGTTAAGTGCGAACATTGTCCGCGCGAAGGGCCTAATATTAGGGAGGTGTAAAGGAGTGTTTTCAGGAAAAACTTGCAAAAAAATTGAAAAATTTAGGTTGAAATCGACTCTTGTGGCTGGACAAAACTGAATTTTTTTGATTATTGGGGGAGGGGGGGTACACTCCCTTACATCCCCGCTCGCGCCGGGCCTGAGTGCGAATGAACGTTATTGTGATTGTGCGTGTTTTCTAATTAGACAGCCAGCCACTAAGCACCCTTCGTTCACGAAAAACTGGTTCTTAGTGTTGATCGGCACTCTTTTCAGGTGAAGAAAAAATAAAAATTTGAAAGATATTGTTTTTTTCGACGAAGTGCAAGTGAAAAGGTGTACAGTGCATTGATCCATCGATTCGCAAAGTATTGTGCTTGTGTCAAAAAGATATCTCAGTCTATAGTACAGCGAAATCTAAAAAAAACGAATCCAAAGGATGAGCCAAAAAAGTTGAAGAAATAATACTTGTCCACCATATAGGTTCTTTTGTCCGAATTTTGCGACGGTGTTGTAACATACATTTCCCTGATATAACGACAGTAACTTAATCACTCCCAAATAGTCGATCATAGTTTTTTCTAAGGGCAAAATTCAGATACTAATTTTGCTGAAATCAACAACGCTAACGTGAATGTTAATCTCACTGATCGACTTTCAGTACAGTAGTGTTGCATGATCCTTGAATAGCCATCCAGCAATTCTAGGCATAACCAGTACAAGTAACGTTCATCGCCAAGCGATTCACTTAGCCCTAGACTGATAGAATACATGTACGGATGTAATAACATAAAAAGCTACATTAAAAAAGTAATACGCAAAATTGATAATATTACCAGTATATCTTAGGCGACCAGAAAACTTAATTTGGAGAATTCTCACTCTAAGTAAAGATGATGCATTTACAAATTTAATTTTTTTTTATCGTTTTTGTTTTATTTTTTTTTGCTTTTATAAATATAAATAGAGCCCAATAAGATTAGACAACAATACGATTTTTTTATAATTATATTGGCGCTATTTGTACGTACAAAAATATGAATTATATTATTCATAAAATTTTAGTTTTATTAATCAATATTTTATGCTTCAATTCGCGCATTAATTCTAAACTATTAATACATTAGATATTCATTGATACAACATTGGACAATCAATCCTACAATAATGAATAATTTAAACGATTTCTTTAAATCCATACTGCTCATTTGGTCTGACTCTAACTAATTAAATGCTTTTGTAAGCCGTTTTACACCACTACCCGAATTATAGTTACTCCATTGACATTTTACCCATGATTATTATGGGTTCATTTACATCAGTCTTTAGATGGTCATTTGTACCATAGTTATCGGAATAGTTGTTTGTACCATGGTTGCTATATGGTCATCTGTGCCATAGTTACGTGGCCGTTTGTACCAAAAAAATGACCGTTTGTGCCATAGTTACCTAGTTAATTTTAGTAAAAAAA